CCTCCACTTTGTCATCTACAGTGACACCAACCTCCACTCTGTCATCTACAGTAACACCAACCTCTACTGTGTCATCTACAGTGACACCAATATCCACTTTGTCATCGTCAGTGACAGTAACACCTACCTCCACTTTGTCATCTACAGTGACACCAACCTTCACTTTGTCATCTACAGTGACACCAACCTCCACTTTGTCATCTACAGTGACACCAACCTCCACTTTGTCATCTACAGTGACACCAACCTCCACTCTGTCATCTACAGTGACACCAACCTCCACTTTGTCATCTACAGTGACACCAACGTCTACTGTGTCATCTACAGTGACACCAACCTCCACTTTGTCATCTACAGTAACACCAACCTCCACTTTGTCATCTACAGTGACACCAAGCACCACTTTGTCATCTACAGTAACACCAAGCACCACTTTGTCATCTACAGTAACACCAACCTCCACTTTGTCATCTACAGTGACACCAACCTCCACTGTGTCATCTACAGTAACACCAACCTCCACTGTGTCATCTACATTGACACCAACCTCCACTGTGTCATCTACAGTGACACCAACCTCCACTGTGTCATCTACAGTGACACCAACCTCCACTTTGTCATCTACAGTGACACCAAGCACCACTTTGTCATCTACAGTAACACCAACCTCCACTGTGTCATCAACAGTAACACCAACCTCCACTCTGTCATCTACAGTGACACCAACCTCCACTGTGTCTTCTACAGTAACACCAAGCACCACTTTGTCATCTACAGTGACACTAACCTCCACTGTGTCATCAACAGTAACACCAACCTCCACTTTGTCATCTACAGTGACACCAACCTCCACTGTGTCTTCTACAGTAACACCAAGCACCACTTTGTCATCTACAGTGACACCAACCTCCACTTTGTCATCTACAGTGACACCAAGCACCACTTTGTCATCTACAGTGACAACAACCTCCACTTTGTCATCTACAGTGACACCAACCTCAACTCTGTCATCTACAGTGACACCAACCTCCACTTTGTCATCTACAGTGACACCAATGTCTACTGTTTCATCTACAGTGACACCAACCTCCACTTTGTCATCTACAGTAACACCAACCTCCACTTTGTCATCTACAGTGACACCAAGCACCACTTTGTCATCTACAGTTACACCAACCTCCACTTTGTCATCTTCAGTGACACCAAGCACCACTTTGTCATCAACAGTAACACCAACCTCCACTGTGTCATCTACAGTGACACCAACCTCCACTGTGTCATCTACAGTGACACCAACCTCCACTTTGTCATCTACAGTGACACCAACCACCACTGTGTCTTCTACAGTAACACCAACCTCCACTGTGTCATCTACAGTGACACCAACCTCCACTTTGTCATCTACAGTGACACCAACTTCCACTCTGTCATCAACAGTAACACCAACAGCTACTGTGTCATCTACAGTGACACCAACCTCCACTTTGTCATCTTCAGTGACACCAACCTCCACTTTGTCATCTACAGTGACACCAAGCACCACTTTGTCATCAACAGTAACACCAACATCTACTGTGTCATCTACAGTGACACCAACCTCCACTTTGTCATCTTCAGTGACACCAACCTCCACTTTGTCATCTACAGTGACACCAACCTCCACTTTGTCATCTACAGTGACACCAAGCACCACTTTGTCATCTACAGTGACACCAACCTCCACTTTGTCATCTACAGTGACACCAACCTCCACTCTGTCATCTACAGTGACACCAACCTCCACTTTGTCATCTACAGTGACACCAAGCACCACTTTGTCATCTACAGTAACACCAAGCACCACTTTGTCATCTACAGTAACACCAACCTCCACTTTGTCATCTACAGTGACACCAACCTCCATTGTGTCATCTACAGTAACACCAACCTCCACTGTGTCATCTACATTGACACCAACCTCCACTGTGTCATCTACAGTGACACCAACCTCCACTGTGTCATCTACAGTGACACCAACCTCCACTTTGTCATCTACAGTGACACCAAGCACCACTTTGTCATCTACAGTAACACCAACCTCCACTGTGTCATCAACAGTAACACCAACCTCCACTGTGTCATCTACAGTGACACCAACCTCCACTTTGTCATCTACAGTGACACCAACTTCCACTCTGTCATCAACAGTAACACCAACATCTACTGTGTCATCTACAGTGACACCAACCTCCACTTTGTCATCTACAGTGATACCAACCTCCACTTTGTCATCAACAGTGACACCAACCTCCACTGTGTCTTCTACAGTAACACCAACCTCCACTGTGTCATCTACAGTGACACCAACCTCCACTTTGTCATCTACAGTGACACCAACCTCGACTGTGTCATCAACAGTAACACCAACATCTACTGTGTCATCTACAGTGACACCAACCTCCACTTTGTCATCTTCAGTGACACCAACCTCCACTTTGTCATCTACAGTGACACCAAGCACCACTTTGTCATCTACAGTGACACCAAGCACCACTTTGTCATCTACAGTGACACCAACCTCCACTTTGTCATCTACAGTGACACCAACCTCCACTCTGTCATCTACAGTGACACCAACCTCCACTTTGTCATCTACAGTGACACCAACCTCCACTTTGTCATCTACAGTGACACCAAGCACCACTTTGTCATCTACAGTGACACCAACCTCCACTTTGTCATCTACAGTGACACCAACCTCCACTTTGTCATCTACAGTGACACCAAGCACCACTTTGTCATCTACAGTGACACCAACCTCCACTTTGTCATCTACAGTGACACCAACCTCCACTCTGTCATCTACAGTGACACCAACCTCCACTTTGTCATCTACAGTGACACCAAGCACCACTTTGTCATCTACAGTAACACCAAGCACCACTTTGTCATCTACAGTAACACCAACCTCCACTTTGTCATCTACAGTGACACCAACCTCCACTGTGTCATCTACAGTAACACCAACCTCCACTTTGTCATCTACAGTGACACCAACCTCCACTGTGTCATCTACAGTGATACCAACCTCCACCTTGTCATCTACTGTGACACCAACCTCCACTGTGTCATCTGCAGTAACAACAACCTCTACTGTGTCATCTACAGTGACACCAACCTCCACTTTGTCATCTGCAGTGACACCAACCTCGACTCTGTCATCTACAGTGACACCAACCTCCACTTTGTCATCTACAGTGACACCAACCTCCACTGTGTCATCTACAGTGACACCAACCTCCACTTTGTCATCTACAGTAACACAAACGTCTACTGTGTCATCTACAGTGACACCAAGCACCACTTTGTCATCAACAGTAACACCAACCTCCACTTTGTCATCTACAGTGACACCAACCTCCACTGTGTCATCTACAGTGATACCAACCTCCACTTTGTCATCTACTGTGACACCAACCTCCACTGTGTCATCTACAGTGACACCAACCTCCACTTTGTCATCTACAGTAACACCAACGTCGAATGTGTCATCTACAGTGACACCAACTTCCACTTTGTCATCTTCAGTGACACCAAGCACCACTTTGTCATCTACAGTAACACCAACCTCTACTGTGTCATCTACAGTGACACCAACCTCCACTTTGTCATCTTCAGTGACACCAAGCACCACTTTGTTATCTACAGTAACAACAACCTCTACTGTGTCATCTACAGTGACACCAACCTCCACTTTGTCATCTACAGTAACACCAACGTCTACTGTGTCATCTACAGTGACACCAACCTCCACTTTGTCATCTACAGTGACACCAAGCACCACTGTGTCATCTACAGTGACACCAACCTCCACTTTGTCATCTACAGTGACACCAACGTCTACTGTGTCATCTACAGTGACACCAACCTCCACTTTGTCATCTACAGTGACACCAACCTTGACTGTGTCATCTACAGTGACACCAACCTCCACTTTGTCATCTACAGTGACACCAACCTCCACTGTGTCATCTTCAGTGACACCAAGCACCACTTTGTCATCTACAGTAACACCAACCTCTACTGTGTCATCTACAGTGACACCAACCTCCACTTTGTCATCTTCAGTGACACCAAGCACCACTTTGTTATCTACAGTAACACCAACCTCTACTGTGTCATCTACAGTGACACCAACCTCCACTTTGTCATCTACAGTGACACCAAGCACCACTTTGTCATCTACAGTAACAACAACCTCTACTGTGTCATCTACAGTGACACCAACCTCCACTTTGTCATCTACAGTGACACCAACCTCCACTCTGTCATCTACAGTGACACCAACCTCCACTTTGTCATCTACAGTGACACCAACCTCCACTGTGTCATCTACAGTGACACCAACCTCCACTTTGTCATCTACAGTAACACCAACGTCTACTGTGTCATCTACAGTGACACCAACCTCCACTTTGTCATCTTCAGTGACACCAAGCACCACTTTGTCATCTACAGTAACACCAACCTCTACTGTGTCATCTACAGTGACACCAACCTCCACTTTGTCATCTTCAGTGACACCAAGCACAACTTTGTCATCTACAGTAACACCAACCTCTACTGTGTCATCTACAGTGACACCAACCTCCACTTTGTCATCTACAGTAACACCAAGCACCACTTTGTCATCTACAGTAACAACAACCTCTACTGTGTCATCTACAGTGACACCAACCTCCACTTTGTCATCTACAGTGACACCAACCTCCACTTTGTCATCTACAGTAACACCAACCTCCACTCTGGCATCTACAGTAACACCAACCTCTACTGTGTCATCTACAGTGACACCAACCTCCACTTTGTCATCTTCAGTGACACCAAGCACCACTTTGTCATCTACAGTAACACCAACCTCTACTGTGTCATCTACAGTGACACGAACCTCCACTTTGTCAAATACAGTGACACCAAGCACCACTTTGTCATCTACAGTGACACCAACCTCCACTCTGTCATCTACAGTAACACCAACGTCTACTGTGTCATCTACAGTGACACCAACCTCCACTGTGTCATCTACAGTGACACCAACCTCCACTTTGTCATCTTCAGTGACACCAACCTCCACTTTGTCATCTACAGTAACACCAACCTCCACTTTGTCATCTACAGTGACACCAACCTCCACTGTGTCATCTACAGTGACACCAACCTCCACTTTGTCTTCTACAGTAACACCAAGCACCACATTGTCATCTACAGTGACACCAACCTCCACTTTGTCATCTACAGTGACACCAACCTCCACTCTGTCATCTACAGTAACACCAACGTCTACTGTGTCATCTACAGTGACACCAACCTCCACTTTGTCATCTACAGTAACACCAACCTCCACTTTGTCATCTACAGTGACACCAACCTCCACTGTGTCATCTACAGTGACACCGACCTCCACTTTGTCTTCTACAGTAACACCAAGCACCACTTTGTCATCTACAGTGACACCAACCTCCACTGTGTCGTCAACAGTAACACCAACCTCCACTTTGTCATCTACAGTGACACCAACCTCCACTCTGTCATCTACAGTAACACCAACGTCTACTGTGTCGTCTACAGTGACACCAACCTCCACTTTGTCATCTTCAGTGACACCAAGCACCACTTTGTCATCTACAGTAACACCAACCTCTACTGTGTCATCTACAGTGACACCAACCTCCACTTTGTCATCTTCAGTGACACCAAGCACCACTTTGTCATCTACAGTAACACCAACCTCTACTGTGTCATCTACAGTGACACCAACCTCCACTTTGTCATCTACAGTGACACCAAGCACCACTTTGTCATCTACAGTAACAACAACCTCTACTGTGTCATCTACAGTGACACCAACCTCCACTTTGTCATCTACAGTGACACCAAGCACCACTTTGTTATCTACAGTAACACCAACCTCTACTGTGTCATCTACAGTGACACCAACCTCCACTTTGTCATCTACAGTGACACCAAGCACCACTTTGTCATCTACAGTAACAACAACCTCTACTGTGTCATCTACAGTGACACCAACCTCCACTTTGTCATCTACAGTGACACCAACCTCCACTCTGTCATCTACAGTGACACCAACCTCCACTTTGTCATCTACAGTGACACCAACCTCCACTGTGTCATCTACAGTGACACCAACCTCCACTTTGTCATCTACAGTAACACCAACGTCTACTGTGTCATCTACAGTGACACCAACCTCCACTTTGTCATCTTCAGTGACACCAAGCACCACTTTGTCATCTACAGTAACACCAACCTCTACTGTGTCATCTACAGTGACACCAACCTCCACTTTGTCATCTTCAGTGACACCAAGCACAACTTTGTCATCTACAGTAACACCAACCTCTACTGTGTCATCTACAGTGACACCAACCTCCACTTTGTCATCTACAGTAACACCAAGCACCACTTTGTCATCTACAGTAACAACAACCTCTACTGTGTCATCTACAGTGACACCAACCTCCACTTTGTCATCTACAGTGACACCAACCTCCACTTTGTCATCTACAGTAACACCAACCTCCACTCTGGCATCTACAGTAACACCAACCTCTACTGTGTCATCTACAGTGACACCAACCTCCACTTTGTCATCTTCAGTGACACCAAGCACCACTTTGTCATCTACAGTAACACCAACCTCTACTGTGTCATCTACAGTGACACCAACCTCCACTTTGTCAAATACAGTGACACCAAGCACCACTTTGTCATCTACAGTGACACCAACCTCCACTCTGTCATCTACAGTAACACCAACGTCTACTGTGTCATCTACAGTGACACCAACCTCCACTGTGTCATCTACAGTGACACCAACCTCCACTTTGTCATCTTCAGTGACACCAACCTCCACTTTGTCATCTACAGTAACACCAACCTCCACTTTGTCATCTACAGTGACACCAACCTCCACTGTGTCATCTACAGTGACACCAACCTCCACTTTGTCTTCTACAGTAACACCAAGCACCACATTGTCATCTACAGTGACACCAACCTCCACTTTGTCATCTACAGTGACACCAACCTCCACTCTGTCATCTACAGTAACACCAACGTCTACTGTGTCATCTACAGTGACACCAACCTCCACTTTGTCATCTACAGTAACACCAACCTCCACTTTGTCATCTACAGTGACACCAACCTCCACTGTGTCGTCAACAGTAACACCAACCTCCACTTTGTCATCTACAGTGACACCAACCTCCATTCTGTCATCTACAGTAACACCAACGTCTACTGTGTCGTCTACAGTGACACCAACCTCCACTTTGTCATCTTCAGTGACACCAAGCACCACTTTGTCATCTACAGTAACACCAACCTCTACTGTGTCGTCTACAGTGACACCAACCTCCACTTTGTCATCTTCAGTGACACCAAGCACCACTTTGTCATCTACAGTAACACCAACCTCTACTGTGTCATCTACAGTGACACCAACCTCCACTTTGTCATCTTCAGTGACACCAAGCACCACTTTGTCATCTACAGTAACACCAACCTCTACTGTGTCATCTACAGTGACACCAACCTCCACTTTGTCATCTACAGTGACACCAAGCACCACTTTGTCATCTACAGTAACAACAACCTCTACTGTGTCATCTACAGTGACACCAACCTCCACTTTGTCATCTACAGTGACACCAACCTCCACTCTGTCATCTACAGTAACACCAACCTCCACTCTGTCATCTACAGTAACACCAACCTCTACTGTGTCATCTACAGTGACACCAACCTCCACTGTGTCATCTACAGTGACACCAACCTCCACTCTGTCATCTACAGTGACACCAACCTCTACTGTGTCATCTACAGTTACACCAACCTCCACTTTGTCATCTACAGTGACACCAAGCACCACTTTGTCATCTACAGTAACACCAACCTCTACTGTGTCATCTACAGTGACACCAACCTCCACTTTGTCATCTTCAGTGACACCAAGCACCACTTTGTCATCTACAGTAACACCAACCTCTACTGTGTCATCTACAGTGACACCAACCTCCACTTTGTCATCTTCAGTGACACCAAGCACCACTTTGTTATCTACAGTAACAACAACCTCTACTGTGTCATCTACAGTGACACCAACCTCCACTTTGTCATCTACAGTAACACCAACGTCTACTGTGTCATCTACAGTGACACCAACCTCCACTTTGTCATCTACAGTGACACCAAGCACCACTGTGTCATCTACAGTGACACCAACCTCCACTTTGTCATCTACAGTGACACCAACGTCTACTGTGTCATCTACAGTGACACCAACCTCCACTTTGTCATCTACAGTGACACCAACCTCGACTGTGTCATCTACAGTGACACCAACCTCCACTTTGTCATCTACAGTGACACCAACCTCCACTGTGTCATCTTCAGTGACACCAAGCACCACTTTGTCATCTACAGTAACACCAACCTCTACTGTGTCATCTACAGTGACACCAACCTCCACTTTGTCATCTTCAGTGACACCAAGCACCACTTTGTTATCTACAGTAACACCAACCTCTACTGTGTCATCTACAGTGACACCAACCTCCACTTTGTCATCTACAGTGACACCAAGCACCACTTTGTCATCTACAGTAACAACAACCTCTACTGTGTCATCTACAGTGACACCAACCTCCACTTTGTCATCTACAGTGACACCAACCTCCACTCTGTCATCTACAGTGACACCAACCTCCACTTTGTCATCTACAGTGACACCAACCTCCACTGTGTCATCTACAGTGACACCAACCTCCACTTTGTCATCTACAGTAACACCAACGTCTACTGTGTCATCTACAGTGACACCAACCTCCACTTTGTCATCTTCAGTGACACCAAGCACCACTTTGTCATCTACAGTAACACCAACCTCTACTGTGTCATCTACAGTGACACCAACCTCCACTTTGTCATCTTCAGTGACACCAAGCACCACTTTGTCATCTACAGTAACACCAACCTCTACTGTGTCATCTACAGTGACACCAACCTCCACTTTGTCATCTACAGTAACACCAAGCACCACTTTGTCATCTACAGTAACAACAACCTCTACTGTGTCATCTACAGTGACACCAACCTCCACTTTGTCATCTACAGTGACACCAACCTCCACTTTGTCATCTACAGTAACACCAACCTCCACTCTGGCATCTACAGTAACACCAACCTCTACTGTGTCATCTACAGTGACACCAACCTCCACTTTGTCATCTTCAGTGACACCAAGCACCACTTTGTCATCTACAGTAACACCAACCTCTACTGTGTCATCTACAGTGACACCAACCTCCACTTTGTCATCTACAGTGACACCAAGCACCACTTTGTCATCTACAGTAACACCAACCTCTACTGTGTCATCTACAGTGACACCAACCTCCACTTTGTCATCTACAGTGACACCAACCTCCACTCTGTCATCTACAGTAACACCAACCTCTACTGTGTCATCTACAGTGACACCAACCTCCACTTTGTCATCTACAGTGACACCAAGCACCACTTTGTCATCTACAGTAACAACAACCTCTACTGTGTCATCTACAGTGACACCAACCTCCACTTTGTCATCTACAGTGACACCAACCTCCACTCTGTCATCTACAGTGACACCAACCTCCACTTTGTCATCTACAGTGACACCAACCTCCACTGTGTCATCTACAGTGACACCAACGTCTACTGTGTCATCTACAGTGACACCAACCTCCACTTTGTCATCTTCAGTGACACCAAGCACCACTTTGTCATCTACAGTAACACCAACCTCTACTGTGTCATCTACAGTGACACCAACCTCCACTTTGTCATCTACAGTGACACCAACCTCCACTCTGTCATCTACAGTGACACCAACCTCTACTGTGTCATCTACAGTGACACCAACCTCCACTTTGTCATCTACAGTGACACCAAGCACCACTTTGTCATCTACAGTAACAACAACCTCTACTGTGCTATCTACAGTGACACCAACCTCCACTTTCTCATCTACAGTGACACCAACCTCCACTCTGTCATCTACAGTAACACCAACCTCCACTCTGTCATCTACAGTAACACCAACCTTTACTGTGTCATCTACAGTGACACCAACCTCCACTTTGTCATCTACAGTGACACCAAGCACCACTTTGTCATCTACAGTAACACCAACCTCTACTGTGTCATCTACAGTGACACCAACCTCCACTTTGTCATCTACAGTGACACCAACCTTCACTCTGTCATCTACAGTAACACCAACCTCCACTCTGTCATCTACAGTAACACCAACCTCCACTGTGTCATCTACAGTGACACCAACCTCCACTTTGTCATCTTCAGTGACACCAACCTCCACTTTGTCATCTACAGTAACACCAACCTCCACTTTGTCATCTACAGTGACACCAACCTCCACTGTGTCATCTACAGTGACACCAACCTCCACTTTGTCTTCTACAGTAACACCAAGCACCACTTTGTCATCTACAGTGACACCAACCTCCACTGTGTCATCAACAGTAACACCAACCTCCACTTTGTCATTTACAGTGACACCAACCTCCACTCTGTCATCTACAGTAACACCAACGTCTACTGTGTCATCTACAGTGACACCAACCTCCACTTTGTCTTCTTCAGTGACACCAAGCACCACTTTGTCATCTACAGTAACACCAACCTCTACTGTGTCATCTACAATGACACCTACCTCCACTTTGTCATCTACAGTGACACCAAGCACCACTTTGTCATCTACAGTAACAACAACCTCTACTGTGTCATCTACAGTGACACCAACCTCCACTTTGTCATCTACAGTGACACCAACCTCCACTCTGTCATCTACAGTAACACCAACCTCCACTGTGTCATCTACAGTGACACCAACCTCCACTTTGTCATCTACAGTAACACCAACCTCCACTTTGTCATCTACAGTGACACCAACCTCCACTGTGTCATCTACAGTGACACCAACCTCCACTGTGTCATCAACAGTAACACCAACCTCCACTTTGTCATTTACAGTGACACCAACCTCCACTCTGTCATCTACAGTAACACCAACGTCTACTGTGTCATCTACAGTGACACCAACCTCCACTTTGTCTTCTTCAGTGACACCAAGCACCACTTTGTCATCTACAGTAACACCAACCTCTACTGTGTCATCTACAATGACACCAACCTCCACTTTGTCATCTACAGTGACACCAAGCACCACTTTGTCATCTACGGTAACAACAACCTCTACTGTGTCATCTACAGTGACACCAACCTCCACTTTGTCATCTACAGTGACACCAACCTCCACTCTGTCATCTACAGTAACACCAACCTCCACTCTGTCATCTACAGTAACACCAACCTCTACTGTGTCATCTACAGTGACACCAACCTCCACTGTGTCATCTACAGTGACACCAACCTCCACTCTGTCATCTACAGTGACACCAACCTCTACTGTGTCATCTACAGTTACACCAACCTCCACTTTGTCATCTACAGTGACACCAAGCACCACTTTGTCATCTACAGTAACACCAACCTCTACTGTGTCATCTACAGTGACACCAACCTCCACTTTGTCATCTACAGTGACACCAACCTCCACTCTGTCATCTACAGTAACACCAACCTCCACTCTGTCATCTACAGTAACACCAACCTCCACTGTGTCATCTACAGTGACACCAACCTCCACTTTGTCATCGTCAGTGACAGTAACACCTACCTCCACTTTGTCATCTACAGTGACACCAACCTCCACTGTGTCATCTACAGTGACACCAACCTCCACTTTGTCATCTACAGTGACACCAACCTCCACTGTGTCATCTACAGTGACACCAACCTCCACTTTGTCATCTACAGTAACACCAACGTCTACTGTGTCATCTACAGTGACACCAACCTCCACTTTGTCATCTTCAGTGACACCAAGCACCACTTATTCATCTACAGTAACACCAACCTCTATTGTGTCATCTACAGTGAACCCAACCTCCACTGTGTCATCTACAGTGACACCAACCTCCACTTTGTCATCTACAGTGACACCAACCTCCACTCTGTCATCTACAGTAACACCAACCTCTACTCTGTCATCTACAGTAACACCAACCTCTACTGTGTCATCTACAGTGACACCAACCTCCACTTTGTCATCGTTAGTGACACCAACCTCCACTTTGTCATCTACAGTGACACCAACCTCCACTTTGTCATCGTCAGTGACACCAACCTCCACTTTGTCATCTACAGTGACACCAACCACCACTGTGTCATCTACAGTGACACCAACCTCCACTTTGTCATCTACAGTGACATCAACCTCCATTGTGTCATCTACAGTGACGCCTAGCACCACTGTGTCTTCAACAGTGACACCAACCTCCACTTTTTTATCGTCAGTGACACCAACCCCCACTGTGTCATCTACAGTGACGCCTAGCACCACTGTGTCTTCAACAGTGACACCAACCTCCACTTTTTTATCGTCAGTGACACCAACCCCCACTGTGTCATCTACAGTGACACCTAGCACCACTCTGTCATCTACAGTGACACCAAGCACCACTTTGTCATCTACAGTAACAACAACCTCTACTGTGTCATCTACAGTGACACCAACCTCTACTTTGTCATCTACAGTGACACCAACCTCCACTGTGTCATCTACAGTGACTCCAACCTCCACTGTGTCTTCTACAGTAACACCAAGCACCACTTTGTCATCTACAGTGACACCAACCTCCACTGTGTCATCAACAGTAACACCATCCTCTACTGTGTCATCTACAGTGACACCAACCTCCACTCTGTCATCTACAGTGACACCAAGCACCACTTTGTCATCTACAGTAACACCAACCTCTACTGTGTCATCTACAGTGACACCAACCTCCACTTTGTCATCTACAGTGACACCAACCTCCACTCTGTCATCTACAGTAACACCAACCTCCACTCTGTCATCTACAGTAACACCATCCTCTACTGTGTCATCTACAGTGACACCAACCTCCACTTTGTCATCTTCAGTGACACCAAGCACCACTTTGTCATCTACAGTAACACCAACCTCCACTTTGTCATCTACAGTGACACCAACCTCCACTTTGTCATCGTCAGTGACACTAACCTCCACTCTGTCATCTACAGTGACACCAACCTCCACTTTGTCATCGTCAGTGACAGTAACACCTACCTCCACTTTGTCATCTACAGTGACACCAACCTCCACTTTGTCATCTACAGTGACACCAACCTCCACTGTGTCATCTACAGTGACTCCAACCTCCACTGTGTCTTCTACAGTAACACCAAGCACCACTTTGTCATCTACAGTGACACCAACCTCCACTGTGTCATCAACAGTAACACCAACCTCTACTGTGTCATCTACAGTGACACCAACCTCCACTTTGTCATCTACAGTGACACCAAGCACCACTTTGTCATCTACAGTAACACCAACCTCTACTGTGTCATCTACAGTGACACCAACCTCCACTTTGTCATCTACAGTGACACCAACCTCCACTCTGTCATCTACAGTAACACCAACCTCCACTCTGTCATCTACAGTAACACCAACCTCTACTGTGTCATCTACAATGACACCAACCTCCACTTTGTCATCTTCAGTGACACCAAGCACCACTTTGTCATCTACAGTAACACCAACCTCCACTTTGTCATCTACAGTGACACCAACCTCCACTGTGTCATCTACAGTGACACCAACCTCCACTGTTTCTTCTACAGTAACACCAACCTCCACTGTGTCATCTACAGTGACACCAACCTCCACTGTGTCTTCTACAGTAACACCAAGCACCACTTTGTCATCTACAGTGACACCAACCTCCACTGTGTCATCAACAGTAACACCAACCTCCACTTTGTCATCTACAGTGACACCAACCTCCACTCTGTCATTTACAGTAACACCAACCTCTACTGTGTCATCTACAGTGACACCAACCTCCACTGTGTCATCTACAGTGACACCAACCTCCACTGTGTCATCTACAGTGACACCAACCTCCACTTTGTCATCTACAGTGACACCAACCTCCACTCTGTCATCTACAGTAACACCAACCTCTACTCTGTCATCTACAGTAACACCAACCTCTACTGTGTCATCTACAGTGACACCAACCTCCACTTTGTCATCGTTAGTGACACCAACCTCCACTTTGTCATCTACAGTGACACCAACCTCCACTTTGTCATCTACAGTGACACCAAGCACCACTTTGTCATCTACAGTAACACCAACCTCTACTGTGTCATCTACAGTGACACCAACCTCCACTTTGTCATCTACAGTGACACCAACCTCCACTCTGTCATCTACAGTAACACCAACCTCCACTCTGTCATCTACAGTAACACCAACCTCTACTGTGTCATCTACAATGACACCAACCTCCACTTTGTCATCTTCAGTGACACCAAGCACCACTGTGTCTTCAACAGTGACACCAACCTCCACTTTTTTATCGTCAGTGACACCAACCCCCACTGTGTCATCTACAGTGACACCAACCTCCACTCTGTCATCTACAGTAACACCAACCTCTACTGTGTCATCTACAGTGACACCAACCTCCACTGTGTCATCTACAGTGACACCAACCTCCACTGTGTCATCTACAGTGACACCAACCTCCACTTTGTCATCTACAGTGACACCAACCTCCACTCTGTCATCTACAGTAACACCAACCTCTACTCTGTCAACTACAGTAACACCAACCTCTACTGTGTCATCTACAGTGACACCAACCTCCACTTTGTCATCGTTAGTGACACCAACCTCCACTTTGTCATCTACAGTGACACCAACCTCTACTGTGTCATCTACAATGACACCAACCTCCACTTTGTCATCTTCAGTGACACCAAGCACCACTTTGTCATCTACAGTAACACCAACCTCCACTTTGTCATCTACAGTGACACCAACCTCCACTTTGTCATCTACAGTGACACCAACCTCCACTGTGTCATCTACAGTGACACCAACCTCCACTTTGTCATCTACAGTGACACCAACCTCCACTGTGTCATCTACAGTGACACCAACCTCCACTTTGTCATCTACAGTAACACCAACGTCTACTGTGTCATCTACAGTGACACCAACCTCCACTTTGTCATCTTCAGTGACACCAACCTCCACTTTGTCATCGTCAGTGACACTAACCTCCCCTCTGTCATCTACAGTGACACCAACCTCCACTTTGTCATCGTCAGTGACAGTAACACCTACCTCCACTTTGTCATCTACAGTGACACCAACCTCCACTTTGTCATCTACAGTGACACCAACCTCCACTGTGTCATCTACAGTGACTCCAACCTCCACTGTGTCTTCTACAGTAACACCAAGCACCACTTTGTCATCTACAGTGACACCAACCTCCACTGTGTCATCAACAGTAACACCAACCTCTACTGTGTCATCTACAGTGACACCAACCTCCACTTTGTCATCTACAGTGACACCAAGCACCACTTTGTCATCTACAGTAACACCAACCTCTACTGTGTCATCTACAGTGACACCAACCTCCACTTTGTCATCTACAGTGACACCAACCTCCACTCTGTCATCTACAGTAACACCAACCTCCACTCTGTCATCTACAGTAACACCAACCTCTACTGTGTCATCTACAATGACACCAACCTCCACTTTGTCATCTTCAGTGACACCAAGCACCACTTTGTCATCTACAGTAACACCAACCTCCACTTTGTCATCTACAGTGACACCAATCTCCACTGTGTCATCTACAGTGACACCAACCTCCACTGTGTCTTCTACAGTAACACCAAGCACCACTTTGTCATCTACAGTGACACCAACCTCCACTGTGTCATCAACAGTAACACCAACCTCCACTTTGTCATCTACAGTGACACCAACCTCCACTCTGTCATCTACAGTAACACCAACCTCTACTGTGTCATCTACAGTGACACCAACCTCCACTGTGTCATCTACAGTGACACCAACCTCCACTGTGTCATCTACAGTGACACCAACCTCCACTTTGTCATCTACAGTGACACCAACCTCCACTCTGTCATCTACAGTAACACCAACCTCTACTCTGTCATCTACAGTAACACCAACTTCTACTGTGTCATCTACAGTGACACCAACCTCCACTTTGTCATCGTTAGTGACACCAACCTCCACTTTGTCATCTACAGTGACACCAACCTCCACTTTGTCATCTACAGTGACACCAAGCACCACTTTGTCATCTACAGTAACACCAACCTCTACTGTGTCATCTACAGTGACACCAACCTCCACTTTGTCATCTACAGTGACACCAACCTCCACTCTGTCATCTACAGTAACACCAACCTCCACTCTGTCATCTACAGTAACACCAACCTCTACTGTGTCATCTACAATGACACCAACCTCCACTTTGTCATCTTCAGTGACACCAAGCACCACTGTGTCTTCAACAGTGACACCAACCTCCACTTTTTTATCGTCAGTGACACCAACCCCCACTGTGTCATCTACAGTGACACCAACCTCCACTCTGTCATCTACAGTAACACCAACCTCTACTGTGTCATCTACAGTGACACCAACCTCCACTCTGTCATCTACAGTAACACCAACCTCTACTGTGTCATCTACAGTGACACCAACCTCCACTGTGTCATCTACATTGACACCAACCTCCACTGTGTCATCTACAGTGACACCAACCTCCACTTTGTCATCTACAGTGACACCAACCTCCACTCTGTCATCTACAGTAACACCAACCTCTACTCTGTCATCTACAGTAACACCAACCTCTACTGTGTCATCTACAGTGACACCAACCTCCACTTTGTCATCGTTAGTGACACCAACCTCCACTTTGTCATCTACAGTGACACCAACCTCTACTGTGTCATCTACAATGACACCAACCTCCACTTTGTCATCTTCAGTGACACCAAGCACCACTTTGTCATCTACAGTAACACCAACCTCCACTTTGTCATCTACAGTGACACCAACCTCCACTGTGTCATCTACAGTAACACCAAGCGCTACTGTCACATTTACAGCTGGTAAGCAAACATATCATTATAGTAAACAAATATACGATGGACTGAGAGGCTCTAGTTGAAATTATGGATCGAGGAGGCAGGAATAGCACTATTTTCCGAGGGGCGTAGTCCCGAAAACATAGTGGTATTTCTGTCGCCGAGGAATCCATAATTTCACCAAATAAGCAAATATTAATCGACTACGATGGTAATGGTACATACTATCATCACCGAGGCGATGATATTATGTTTCAATTGCCCGAGTAAAGGAGGTTAATATTTGTTTTATATCCCACATCGGCAATAAGGTCTATTTAAAGTGAATTTTACGTAATTAAAAGAACAGATTTTGGAGATAGTTAAGCTTCAGCTAGATTTTACAAAGATTTGACATTGACATTGACATTTCGCGTAACGTACTTTGTATGCGTATTCGCTGGCAAGTGGGGCAGCAGCAAAAATAAAAGAAAAGAAAACGGTACAAAAGTCCTATCGCAGGGAGACTTATCTTTCATTCATCATGTGACCTCGTTTAGACCAATCAGATTGCAAGATTCTTAGTAAGCGGGATATAATGCATGATATATTTGTTTTATATTTTTTAAACCAACCAAAAAATAATGGTAATAATAATGTTTACTGTCACTGAAGTAGTGAAGAGTGCAGCGCATCCGCGCGACCGCGACCAATAGCACATTGATCTTATATATACGACGTCATCCATGGTATAGTGATATGGTATAGTGCACTATACCATGGATGACGTCACGTTTACATCATAGCAGTGTTATGTTTGGTCACGTGATGCTAAGTTGATCAATCACTGAACAGGATTTCATTGATCAAAACTACAATACCCTTTTGCACATGATGCGTTGTTTGCTGACGCAAGATTGAGCCACTACCGGTAATTGTCTTTGTGTTCGAAGCCAGAATTAGGATTTTGGTCAGTATAAAAATGATTAGTCTAAGTATTCTTACAAATTACTGACGTACGGCCTTTACAAATTATTTATGTTTATTACCATCCGAATCACTCGATTGAGTCCGTTATTTCTCTGGCTTTGACCCTGTTGATTACAAGTCTTGCTTTCAAAATATGACTCATCATCCATCCATGTACTGACGTCAGCATCTCACCATTCACACAGGACGAAATTGAAATGCACATTGGTGAAATTGAATAAATAAAGTTGTTGAAATGGACAGGAAAGCCTTTATCATTATTGTTATTTTTGCTATCAATTAAATTCTTCATTTTCTTTTTCTTCTCGTTCATTATTATTATCATTTGTATTTATCTTCCTCCTCTTATTATTATTTTCATTATTAGTGTTATTATCGTTATTATTTTCATTATTAGCGTTATTATTGTTATTATTATCATTATTAGCGTTATTATCGTTATTATTATCATTATTAGTGTTATTATCGTTATTATTATCATTATTAGTGTTATTATTGTTATCATTATCATTATTAGTGTTATTATCGTTATTATTATTATCATTATTAGTGTTATTATCGTTATTATTATTATTGTTATAACTATAATCATTATTATTGTTTTTTTCTTTTACAGATGTAGGAGTTTCCGCCACAGTAAGCTTTGATATGACATTCGAAACACAGGACAATGAACTATTAGTGTTCACAGATGACCTCAATGACCCAACTTCCGCTCGCTTCATTGAGCTGCAGACCTTCTTCTGTAGAGCGGTAAGTGTTCTCGAGAATTCCGCACCATTCATTTATTTATCTATTTATTTATTTTCTTTTATTTCGACAGGGTAGCCCCATCAGTAGTTAAAATACTGTTTGTTGATGATATATATGTTCAATTGCAAGCTTTGTGCGGGGAGGTGTCATGGTACAGAGGTTCTTTCACATGACTCTTTATCCAGTAAGCGAGGGTTCGAATTCAAGCCGGGCACTAGTAATAATAATATAATAATAACAATAATAACAATAATATTAGCTGAATTTATATTGCGTCTGAAGGAATGCTCGATAGGTCTACATAGTACTATTATTGCCCTGGATTTAGTCTGGATGAAATCATTCAAGAAATAGATTCCTACAAGGTACTATAATTGCAGAAATGCGAGAAGTTCGTTTTATAACAAACATATTTAAAGAGAAGGTTGAGTTCTGGGAAGAGGTGACAAATAATTTGTGAGCGTTATCATTCTTATTATGCAAGTTTGGAAGAACGTCAGATAAGACATGTTCCCTGAAAAGCATGGCTCTTCAAATGCCTTCATATTCTAAATATGTCATGTAACATCGTAAAAATCCAGGGTAGGATTTTTACGCCACGTGTTCGTGTAGTCCCATATACATCTTTCTGTGTACAGTGTTTGTAACTTTACCAAGACTTGCCCAAATTTCTTATCATTTTGATGATTCCAGAACCTTGCAATACACACAAATTCTTATATGCTAGATGATCAACCTTTTTTGGTCGATTCCACACCGTTTCTTTCACAATGCAATCGCATGACCAGAACTCAACTTCATCTTAATCGGTCTTACTCCCTTCCACCTTTTTTTCTTTCCCAAATGCAGATGGTAGCAATAATCCGCACGCGATTGCCCTCCGATGTGGGGGATTCCTTCGTCTTCGTTTGCGTGGTGAATCGGTTCCGGTCGGGAAGTGTGATTGCAAATGGCGATGTAGAGATGGAGGCTCCAGCTGGAGCCATCACCCCGGCCCAGGTTGAGGACGTGACGTCACTAGATAACATCACCGCTCCAAAGGAAATCTTAGTAGACGGTGTCCTGTTTGGAATAGCCTCCCTGAACTGTAAGTATACCATGGGGGGGGGGGGGTTCACAAAACTTGTCATCAGTACTTGTCATCAGTACTTGTCATCAGTAACAAATGACAGTTTTTGTTGTAAGCTACTGAATTCCTTGCTTCTGATTGGTTATCAGCAGATTTTTTTAATGAGTTTTTGTCATTCGTCATTGAAAAAAAAGACATTTAAGTATAATCACTGCCAAAGTGATCAGGTGCTTCACATATATCTTTCGTTTGTAATTTTGAGAAGAATACTATGACTTGTGTAGCATGTAATGTACCGTCGATGCACAAATGAATGATTACATAACTTTCATGAGCACAAATCCAGTATTCGTCTACATGGTCTCAATGAGTTTTACAATTGTGGTACAAATGACCTGTATATGCCCATGCGTTGTTATCTACGAACTGGCTTGTTGTAACCATTTCATTTCATTTATATTTTTAATTTTTTTTTCTTTTTTTTCTTCAATACAGCAAACGTCAGTATGCTGACTGCAACGGAAGCTCCAACAGCAGTGGCAACAGCGCCCTCTGCCAAATATTCGTCTATATCAACAGGAGCGATTGTGGGTATTGTTCTTGGGTGCCTGGCTTTCATCATGATCGTTCTCATCGTCTTCTGTTTCTGCTTCATAGCCAACATAAGACACCATCAAAAGAATAAGATGCTTATGGCGTAAGTAATCAATTGTTTTGATAAGATATATATTTTGAAATCGCTTTAAAAATCCTCGCTGTGGGTTGGGAATTTGTTCGTTCTTGTGGTTGCTAACTATTGTAAAGATCAGTCAGGAGGGAAGGTTGGTTGATAGCTATTCCACTATGTCATCGTGAAGTTCAAGACCTTCGGGAGCCTGGTGGATGTTGCAACTGGGGACTAAATGGCCGATGGTTTGGGTTTCACAGGTGGCAGATGGCCCAGCTTATATTTTGTGGTGTCAAGGCTAGTTCAGATATGGCACGGTAAACCGGTGGAAGAAAAACAACAACAACAACAACGACGCGGTTTTTTCTTTTAAACTTGCAGATTGATGGCGATTGCGCGCAACAGAAGACTTGCGCTCATTTACTGAGCCCTTCGTCATTATATACAGGATTGTGTAGCGTATTGCACTTTGCATCATCATTTAAGAAAAAACGTTGCGATTTTGACTCGTCATATCTAAACCAGCCTTAAAAACTTTGTGCGGCTAACACCCAATCTGGGTTTTGTTGGGAACAATACAATCAGGAATACTTAAATTTGATAGCAAGCCTCGTCCGGGATATTACATATTATTAAATTAAGTTCGCTTTCATACCTCAGACATTTTTTTTAAACAAAGGGTTTAATCATTCTCTCTCTCTCTCTCTCTTTCTCTCCCTCCCGTACTCTCACTTTCTCTTTCCCTCCCCCACCCTCTCGCACCCTCTTTCGTTCCCTCCCCCAATCCCTCGCACCCCCTCCCCATCGCACCTCTCTCTTTCTCTGCTATTCACCTACCAGTGGTCCCCATCATCCCGACCTTAACTACCACGATGCGAGCCTGAATTTCCTGGACGAGGACGATCTCCATCCTGATGACCTGTCCAGTGGCTCTTCCTTAGAAGATAGAAGATTCGTCGTCGGCCAGGCCTTAAGAAACATGGGACAACCAAGATACCCAATGTCAGAGTATTCTCAGGTAATTACCCAAGTCACACTAGAGGCGTCGTTTCACAAGACTGCCACACGTAAAAGTCCGCCGACATTCCATTGATACACGCTCTTTAATTTGGGATGTCGTTGAACTTGTATAATGACCACTTCGTGAAACGAAGCCCTTAGGCCCGACAACTGACCGGGTGTCGTTTCACAAAGCTGTCACACGTAAAAGTCCGCCGACATTCAATGCATTGACATGCGTGTGAATATTGATACACGCTCTTTAATTTGGGATGTCGTTGAACTTGTATAATGTCCACTTCGTGAAACGATGCCCTTAGGCCCGACAACTGACCGGGTGTCGATTCACAAAACTGTCACACGTAAAAGTCCGCCGACATTCGATGCATTGACATGCGTGTGAATATTGATTCACGCTCTTCAATTTGGGATGTCGTTGAACTTGTACTTATGGCCGTTTCGTGAAAGGATGCCTGTAAGCCCGACAACAGACCGGGCAAACATTCTAGTGGATACGTCACCGGATTGTTGATCACATGGTTCAAAGTTCAGCCGAGTTTAGTTAGACAATAATCGATATAATTGGGTCACCCGGTATGAATAATATTAATAATAATATTCCGTTTTTATATTGCGCTCAATACATCGATCCAACGATGTGCCTAAGCGCTTTACAGATATATTATTACCCCGGTCATCGGATTCAGGCTTACCCGCACACAAAGTATGCACATTTTCCATTTCCTTTGGGAGCATTCCAGTCAGTCGCCATTTTACAAGCGCATACTTGCTCGTCCAACCATATGAAGACTATATGACGACAGTTTTCGGATGCCAGAACGCCTTGTTAGGGTAGCTCGGCTAAATGAAGCCTCATGCCGGGGCAGGGGCGTAGACAACGGGGGGGGGGGGGGATGAGGGGGATGGCATGTACAATCATCCCCCAGGTTTTGGGGAATGATATTTGCTTACTTAATAAGTAATAATGATGATAATAATAGTAATAATAATAATGATAACAATTATAATATTAATAATAATAATAATTATGATGATGAAAATAATAATCCTCATCATTATTGTAATTGTGTTTATTGTTATTAGCCGCATTCACACGGTGAAAGCCAATTCAGACGGTAAAAAAAAAGAAAATCTTACAAGTATTTTGTGGTTATGTTGTGGTTTGGAAACCACAAGATAACCACAAGATTAAACAGGCGCGGATCTACGGGGGGGGGGGGTTTAGGGGGTTTAACCCCCCCCCCCCCCCCTTGGGCGGCCCAAAAAACAAACAACGAAAAAAGGGGAAAAAAAGAAAAAAAGAAAGAAAAAAGAACGCACGCTGGAGAGAAACCCTTTCAAGTGCAAATATTGCAGTGGCGGATCCAGGGGGGGGGCCGAAACGGCCGCGGCCCCCCCTATTGGCGGCGCAAAAAAAAGAGGAAAAAAAAGAAAGGAGAAGAGAAGAAAAAAAGGAGAAGAGAAAAGAAAGAAGAAGAGAAAAGAAAAGAGAAGAGAAAAGAAAGAAGAGAGAGAGAGAGAGAGAGAAAGAAAAAAAAATAAGAAGATACCCCCCCCCCCCCCCCCCACCTCACTCCCACTCCGGGGTCGGAGGGACCGATTTTGTGTTTCCAAAATTTCTGATAAAGGGTTACTTTTCACGCAACAAAGTCCGGCCCGTAATACACACAAATCCGGCCCGCACTGACTTTACACACCGAAGATAAAGGGGTGCTTTCAAACTAAGAGAGGGAACATACATGCGCGTACCCTAGATAACACTGAGTGGGTGGGGGGGGGGGGGGGAGGGGAAGAGAGAAGTCGGGTGAGAAAGGGGGAAAAGACAAGGAAATGGCGCTAAGTGACAGTAACGACGAATAAGGGAAAAACTGTAATCGGGAGATTTGGGGTCATTCCAGAAGGCTTGGGAAACGTTATTGAATAGAGGGGGCCGGGCCGGCCGCATAAAATCTCGAGCCACGGATTCAAAGTTAAACGTTACAAACAGCCCCTGCTTTTTGAAAAAAATTGAAAAGGGCACAATATTTTGGATGTCTTTCAAATAGAAGCTATATACTAAGCAGCCAAATTTTAAATTAACGGTAGGTCCGCTTCACAACTCTTATTTTGCCCTTCATTTGGATTCAGCTCATAACAACTCGCTTGTGCTTATATTTAAACTCATGTTGGTAGTGATAATGGACAGCGGCGGCGATCCAGGGCCCGATAGAGGGACACGTCCCCCCGGAAATATATATATATATAGCTAGAAGGAAAATATACATGTAGCGGAAAGAACGTACATATTGGACTAAAGGATTTTCTAGAATGCATAATTATAGCATTCTACATTGCAAAATCTCGCTTGGTCGCTACGCCCCGGCCCTCGCCCCGATAACACAAAACTAAGATATGACGCTCCCGGTCGCGATTATTTCATGGTTGGTATATAAAAAGATTTTTTTTCCCCCTTTCATTTCTACTGACCTAATTGTATGCTATCACAATCATGATTGTTTCATTTTCCCTTTAAAGCATGCGTAGCTAGGGGCGGTAGGGGCAGTAAGGGGACATAGGACGAAAAAAGGAGCAGACAAAGAAACATTTTTGACAAGTCTATAACGGTACAACAAATCATCTTCTTTCTCTATTAACTTAATGAAACGTTAAGCTTCTGCGCTTTGCGTTGGAGGGGGAAACTGAATTCAGAGAAGGATTAAGAGTCGGGAATAGAACAACGAATTATATTCTTTCTCTAATAATTTCATTAAACTATGAAAGGGGGGAAATGAATTCAAACAAGGATTAAGAATCGAGAATGGGACAACGAATCATCTTCTTTCTCTCATAATTTAATGAAGCGTCAGAAGCTTACGCGCTACGCGCGGGAGGAGGAAAACTGAATTAAGACAAGGATTTAGAGTCGAGAATGGAACAACGAATCATCTTCTTTCTCTAATAATTCAATGAAACGTCAAAGCTTCCGCGCTTCGCGCGGGAGGGGGTATAGAAACTGAATTCAGACAATGATTAAGAATCGAGAACGGTACAACGAATCGTCTTCTTTCTCTAATAATTTAATGAAACGTTAAGCTTCTGCGCTTTGCGCTGGAGGGGGGTAATCTGAATTCAGAGAAGGATTGAGGGTCGAGAATGGAACAACGAATTATCTTCTTTCTCTAATAATTCAATGAAACGTCAAAGCTTCTGCGCTTCGCGCGGGAGGGGGTATAGAAACTGAATTCAGACAATGATTAAGAATCGAGAACGGTACAACGAATCGTCTTCTTTCTCTAATAATTTAATGAAACGTCAAAGCTTCCGCGCTTCGCGCGGGAGAGGAAAGGGGGGGGGGACTCAATTCAGACAAGGATTAAGAGTCGAGAACGGTACTCTTTCTCTAATGATTTAATGAAACGTCAAAGCTTCCGCGCTTCGCGAAGGAGGGGGTATGGAAACTGAATTCAGACAATGATTAAGAATCGAGAACGGTACAACGAATCGTCTTCTTTCTCTAATAATTTAATGTAACGTCAAACTTCTGCGCTTCGCGTGGAGGGGGGGGGAACTGAATTCAGACAATGATTAAGAACCGAGAACGGAACAACGGATCGGCTTCTTTCTCTAATAATTTAATGAAACGTTAAAGCTTCCGCGCTTCGCGCGGGAGAGCGAAAGGGGGGAGGGGACTCAATTCAGACAAGGATTAAGAGTCGAGAACGGTACTCTTCCTCTAATGATTTAATGAAACGTCAAAGCTTCCTCGCTTCGCGCGGGAGAGGGTATGGAAACTGAATTCAGACAATGATTAAGAATCGAGAACGGTACAACGAATCGTCTTCTTTCTCTAATAATTTAATGAAACGTCAAAGCTTCCGCGCTTCGCGGGAGAGGTGGGGGGGGGGGAATTCAATTCAGACAAGGATTAAGAGTCGAGAACGGTACTCTTTCTCTAATGATTTAATGAAACGTCAAAGCTTCCGCGCTTCGCGCGGGAGGGGGTATGGAAACTGAATTCAGACAATTATTAAGAATCGTGAACGGTACAACGAATCGTCTTCTTTCTCTAATAATTTAATGAAACGTTAAGCTTCTGCGCTTTGCGCTGGAGGGGGGAATCTGAATTCAGAGAAGGATTGAGGGTCGAGAATGGAACAACGAATTATCTTCTTTCTCTAATAATTTCATTAAACTATGAAAGGTCAATGCTTCAGCGCTACGCGCGGGAGGGGAAAAACTGAATTCAGACAAGGATGAAGAGTCGAGAACGGTACTCTTTCTCTAATGATTTAATGAAACGTCAAAAATTCCGCGCTTCGCGCGGGAGGGGGGGGGGCGGGGGAGAGCAGGGGGGGAGAGCAGGGGGGAGAGCAGGGGGGAGGAACTAAATTCAGACAAGGGTAGGAGTCGAGAATGGTACAACGAATCCTCTTCTTTCTCTAATAATTTCATGAAACATTAAAGCTTCTGCGCTTCGCGCGTAATGGGGGGGGGGGGGGAGGGAGGGGAACAGCGAGCTGCCCGAATATGAATTTGTTATATCTTTCCTCGTATATTTTGGTGATAAATAACACTTTCACAAAATACATATTATCCTCAAATTGTTGCTCGCTCGCTTCGCTCACTAACCGAATTGTGAAACCAGAAAATTACTTTTTCGGGCAAGAGGCTTCAGCCCCCCCCCCCCCCGATGAAAATGTCAAAAAAATTACCGGTATGGTGCTTCTAATATGACCTCGTCAGTATTGGTATGTTGAGTTGAAAAATTGTCTGCGCAATTTTCAAATTTCCGGCCCCCCCTATTGGAAAATCCTGGATCCGCGCCTGCTCAAGATATTCAACTCATCTGGTAACTTAACCAAACACATGATAACTCTGGATATAACTGTGTATTTAACTGTTACTTGATTTAAAAAGACGTTATCATGCTCTGTTTTTTATGGTCTCCATTGTATTAATAGATGCCAGGAAAACATCACTTACGGGGTTCAAAATAACACCAAAAAAAAATATCGGCTCGCCGCTTCGCGGCTCGTGGACGATGCTCCGCATCGTCATTATTGGTCACCCCCCCTTAGCAAAAAGCTAGATCCGCCCCTGAGTCATCCCCCCCAGGTGTACGAACCTGTCTACGCCATTGTGCCGGGGTAATGATATTACAGTGATTAGAAAGTATCCAGAGCTGTATACAACATATTAATATTAATTATTTCAGAGGATATTCTTCTCCACTTCTTACCATATTTGTTGCTTACGTTTTTATTATTATTTTTGCTTTTTAACAGGAGGGGTCGCAAAACTTCGGCGCAGAGAATTACATGACACCGTATGTAGTGGATGGCATGGATGGGGTGAGTTATGATGTCTGAGTTAACCCATAACCACCTGAAACCATAACAGTAAACATGTAATGAGAAGTGAATAGGTTAATATAGTGCTCTGTGTATTAAAGTGTATAGTCAACTGCTTTGAGCTTTTGACTGGAAATGCATAGGTCGTGGGTTCGATCCCCGACGTAGCACTAAATATGTCCTTTGACAATGCATTGTTTTACATGAGCCACTCGACTCAAAAGAGAAATAGGGACCTGGTAGAATGACGGAAGCGTTTGTGATAATCATTGGAATAACGCCCTGGCGTGTTTATTTATTGATGAATTTATTTGTTTAAAGATATTTATACTGGATGACAATATCAACCGAAGCTGATTTTTTTACATTGGTCCTGTATGTACATGGTATTAACCTACAACATAATAATTAAATAAGCAAAACATCAAATATATTGCAGGGATTTCAAATAATATGACGTATGAAATAACCATGGACTTGAGATATGAATGTAAATTTATAGATTTACCCAGAATCACTAAATGAGATTATCCAACGATTTGTCCAAATGCTAAAAATAAAAACAATAACTAAACACACAGCTTTATCGATATTGCGATTTAACAAGGTCTTGGCAATTAATACACCATTTGACCTTTCTACATGAACTAGTTGGAGAGGTCATATCAGCCTCGGTTTTTTATTTTATAATTAAGCCTATTATTTGCCAAAAGTGAAATCTTGAAATTGTGTTTAAGAAAAATGTTGTATTCTTTACAGTGGTAGGTAACGATTAAAAAAGAACTGAGGATACCGTTTCAGGTCCATAAATCTATTTACCCTGAGAGTGAATTTCAAATAATATTTTAAAAAACATGCCGTAATCGTGTTGCTCTTATTGTTTTTCATTGTAATTCATATTTGTTGTGTTTATTTTCATGATTATTTTTACAGGAAATCGTCGAAAGGAACCCACTTCATGTGTCCCACATGTAATCTTTGACTTTTGATCTATACCGGAGGGTAACGCTGCGAATTCGAAATCTACCATACATCGAGGAAAAAGTGTATTTATTTTTTTATTTTTATATATATGAAAAGCAATGCCAGCTATGTTCATCTGGACTTATTTATTGATTCGCTGCACTACTTTAATGCGAATGAGAACAAGAGATATCTCAGAGTTTATAAGGTTGAATGTAAGTTCTTTAATCTTCATATACGTATAAAGAAGAAATGGGAATAATGTTATTTAACGTAAAACAGTACTAGTATGTTGTATTTATTAGTAAAACTTCATCCATATGGTACATGAATATTATTGTTGTACAAAACATTAGTATAATAATAACGATGAAAAGAAAACGTGTGAAAAAAAGCATGGAAATAATGTGATTAATTAAAGAAGTATATGCATATGCTGCATATGATGTAAACTTTAAGAAGACGGCTAACTGTAATTCATAATAATTCATTTATGTTAACCTTTTACTTACTTTAGTTCTACACAGCTTATAGCAAATCATAATTATATGGGTCAATCTGGACCCCGTTTTATAAAAAGTAGATATTAACTGCAACTATGTACATATGAGATAGGGGAGTGCAAACTAGTGCGATTGATTAGAGGACTTGCGACTGATTTGGATCAATCTCAACTCTTTATAAGAGTGGTTCCTGAGAGTAAATATTGGTATTTTACACATTTTTGGGGAAAATAATTAAGGTATGACAATGAATGAGAATCATATTTTTGTATCAATGACAGCTCATAAAAATGTGACATATTAAATTTTATATCTAAAGGTATTCAACAAAGGTCGCAATTCAATTAGTGCTCCTTTCGTTCTTCAGTTACAAATTACACAAAAGACATCCAATTTCTAAGCATTCAAAGGCTTATGCCTAACTTAGTTGTCAACTATATTAACCATATTAGCAACTACATTAATCACATCCCTTGAAAATTTGATATCTTTTTTGTGTTTTTCATAACTCATGAACAAAAGGAGCACTGATTGAATTTCGTCCTTTGTTGAATAATTTTAGATATTTGTGTGCCGGTGTATATACTGTTGCCCTGTAGAGATTCGTATTCATGTATTTAGGGCATTATGCCATTAAGAAGCTGAAATAAATCAAAGCCTTACCTATAATGATAATTTATGTTTCCAATATTTTTGGAGAACTTTAAATGCAATATGTGATAGTAGTAGTAGTAGACTTTATTTGATAACTTGTTCAGCACATGGTCAATCTGCCACACGGTCTATTTTTATAAATCGTAAACAAAATATTGTCAGATACAAACTGTAACAAAGTAAAAACGTGAAAATACATGCAAAAGAGGACCATTATACCTCTTCACACACCATTGAATACTTGCATAAAGGGGAACAGAAAAATGAAAAACAAAACAAAAGAGATAGCCTACGATTATCAATATTAATTGGATTTTTTTAAATATTTGTTTCTTCTATCTAACATATCGAATTCGCAAAGCAATAACTGAGATGCGTCTTTAAATAACGCAAGATTGGAGTATCTACGTTGTCGTAATGTTGCGTGTGTTTATATTATTATAATAATCATATTGTACAAACACTTCATGTTGAGAATAATCAAGATGGGAATACTTTGAGAAATACTTTATCAAAACAATTTTTTGGACAGCAACTCAAGTTTTACCCATGGAATAGATGTAACATGGTGGTATTTGATTTATAGATTTTTACACGGAAGAAATGAGCCTATTTCAATACATTTCAATACATACTTTTGATATTTGTATACATAGTGTTGAAGAGTACTTTTGTAATTAGATTCATCAAGCTTATTTATTATATATTATATTTGTAACTATGCAAGTAAGGATTAGTTTGGTGAAATAAAAACACGATATAGATATATTTTACTGCGACATGGCCCTGAGTTTTAATTACGTGTCAATGGAGTTTTACACAAAGATGTATGATTAACATTCCCTTTAAAGTGTACCATGATCACCTAAATATAATTCATGTGTGCAGCTACGAGTTTAAAACGAACATAAAATTGTTAATCTGGGCCCCGTTTTACAAAAAGTTGATATCTACAGTGCGTCCCAAAAAAAACTATACACTTTTGAAATGGCTGCTGAATAAAAAAAAATATATAATTCTGGGGGAAAAGTTTCATATGTATGGAAAGCTCATAAACTCAACTTTCATATAACACCAAAAAGTCCGAAAATAATTCATGCTTGAGTGAGCACTGCTCACTTTTGTAAAGTGTATGAAAATTTGGTTGCGCAGGAATTAGCCTTCCAATTTGTGAGAGGTAAATCCTTTGGTGCTTACAAAATGGAGGGTGATATGATACATTCATGATTTGCTGAGTGAATTTCATGGTTTATTAAACCAAAATTTTATGCACGAGTGAACAGGAATTTCATTTTTTTATTGTAGCATTGTAACTTTCTCTGGTAGACTCAGTGGTGTGTTCATGGGAGTCAGGATGGGGTGATGGTACATGTTGTAATTTCCATCTTACACACTCTTATATTTTTTTACATCTGTGGCTTTGAATAAAAACCTTCAACCCACATTTCAGTTATTGTAAGATTAGTTGAACATCTCATTGATTTACCTAATAACCAGCTGGGGATTATGTAAATTGATTATTCAAATACGGTTTGTTGAAAAAGGAATATCACAGATGTTGGCTACTTATTCATTCTTCAGGTTACCCATTTACCATTTACAGAAACTCAAGTGCTAAAATGACTGGTTGGTTGGTTGGTTGATAGATTGAGTGATTGACTGAGTTATTGATTAATTATGATTGATTTATTGAATGATTAAATTGATTGAAATACTGAACGGTGATTGAATGCTTGATTGATTGATGGATTGACCGATTGACTGATACCGTACATTTTTGATTAAGTGATGTAAGCTGAATGTTGATTGTCTAATGAATTATCAAGATATGCAAAAGCACACCCTGGCAGAGAGAGAGAGAGAGAGAGAGAGAGAGAGAGAGAGAGAGAGAGAGAGAGAGAGGTAGGGGCATACGTGTCCTCTTGACCCTTATCCCATCTACCCAACAAAGTCCTACCCTACATTTCACCTCCCCTGCACCATGTACCATCACCCCGTCCTGACTCCCATTAACTCACCACTGAGTCTACGGTAATAACAAATGCAATTCCTGTTCACTCATGCATAAAATGTTAATCCCATAAACCACAAATTTCACCCAAACCCAAAATCACCACAATTGATCATAAATTGGTCATATCATCCTCAATTCCGTAAGCTCCAAAGGATTTACCTCTCACAAATTGGAAGGCTAATTCCTGCGCAACCTAATTTTCATATCCTTTACAAAAGTGACCAGTGCTCACTCAAGCATAAATTATGTTTAGACTTTTTGGTGTCATATGAAAGTTGAGTTTATGAGCTTTCCATACATATCAAAATCTTTCCCCAGAATCATATATTTTTTTATTCGGCAGCCATTTCAAAAGTGTATAGTTTTTTTTGGGGACGCACTGTATAGCAACTTATTTGCGATTGATATCAATGTACAATGTATTATGTACATCAGAGATAGGAAACTGCAAACTTGCGATTGATTTGAACCAATCGCAACTCTTTGTACCAATCGCAACTCTTTGTACGACGGGGCCCTGGCATGCCATATAGATTAACGGTTAAGAATTATGAATAAATAAATGGTAACATCATTAGGGCGCCACGTACTGGTGCGTCGACGAGTCTACTCATCGGTGGCTCTTGTGGCTAGTGAGATTGCATCTGAACATGCAATATCTCTTCCTAAAATATTTTAAACAAAATGTTATAAGAGAGAGAGAGAGAGAGAGAGAGAGAAAGAAAGACACACAGAGAGACAGAGAGATGTGAAAGTGAGATGGGACAGGGAGAGAGAGGGAGACACAGAGAGGTGATAGTGAGAGGGGAGAGGGAGAAAAAGAGGGGGGACGCTAAAGAGAGAGAGAGAGAGGCAGACAGAGACAGACAGACAGAGATAGACAGAGAGAGAGAGAGAGACAAAGAGAGATATAAACAGAGATACAAAGAGAGATAGAGATTGAGAAAGAGAGAGAGAGAGAGAGAGAGGGGAGAGAGACATAATGGTAGACAGAAGGAGAGAGAGAGGGGTAAAAATGAAAGACGAGATGAGAGTCATGATGGTAGAGAGAGAGAGAGAGATAGATGAAGAGAGGGAGATAGATGAAGAGAGGGAGATAGAGGGATATTTATACAAATACCCATGGAGAGAGAGAGAGAAAGAGAGAGAGAGAGAGAGAGAGAGATAGACAGAGAGAGACAAAGAGAGACATAAACAGAGATACAAAGAGAGAGATAAAGAGACAGAGAGAGATTGGGAATTAAGATGCAAAGTCTAAGTGTCTTTTGCATAGTACAACCGGTCTTTCAAACAAGTAAATAATATTAACTGCGATGTTTGTCAATATCGAGGACATCTTTTTAAAAAAAGACTTTCTCAAGAATATTAAAAACTTGATATTATGTGACCTTTGCTGAGTCTTCGGACATTTGTTCTCATATGCAGACTACGAACAACTTTTGTGACATCACAGCAAACTTCGCATGAATAGCACAGACAGAGTCATAAACTTTGCACTTTGCAGTGAGGCCCAGTTTTGATTTTATGTCAGTTCTGGCTTGGCAATTGCACTTCGTTATGACGAAAACCCAAATCCTATATTTAGATCAATTAAAAAATCCCAATTTGTGTATTGATACTTTCGTTATCAGTAAGCACCCCCACTAGTATAAAGCATTTCGCAGACGACTTATTGGTATTTCAAACGAAAGTTACTGCAAACAATGTCATATAAATAGAAAGGTCTTAACGTAATAATTATTAGTCCAACACGGAAATTTATTTCCTCCCTCTAATTATCATCGCTTATATTAAAATTCAAGGACTATTCATGCAAGGCATACTCTCCAGTTTGGCTGTTATAGAATACTCCACAGTCTATACGGAAATATCGTGCATGAGTTCTCCGTTTTACTATCATTGCGGACGAGTATAAAATGGAGTCTTTCTCATTATGAAGGTAAGTCTAAAGATAAAAGTCCTCGTATATCGCTAATTTGAAGAACCGCATACAATGTTGTTTGGTAAACAATAAAAATGAAATATGACTACTACCCAATAGAAAAGGCGCTTATAGAAACTGGACTCATGATTAATAAGATGAAAAGGAGAGTTATCATTGGAATGACTGACTGTCCGACTATCCGATTTCTCTCAAACTTTAGTTTCATCATCCTTTTTCTCTGCATTTGTTTCTGTTTTTGCACAAATAAATTTATTACCAGAGTAAGATTGATGTTTATTAATCTATAATCTTTCAAGAACATGCTACTATTTTCACACGTAATTCAGTCATTATAAAATTTCGTATTGGAAAGAAAGAGCATGTAAGAGGTAATAGGTATTCTAAATTAAACGTGTGTACACGTCACCTGTACGATTCGTTAATGTATGACCTCGGGCTCATATCATGCATAACACCATAGCAATATCATGTACTGACCGGAATCACCCTCTCATTTTGTGTCATTACAATGCATTATTTTGCAATGACAGGTACTGTTTCATAACTTGTATACAATTTTTGACACATAATGCATTTTCGGTCTCACCAATCATGCGAGGCTTATTGCGTATTTCGACAGATTTGAAGAAACAAAAAGAAATCCCCAACAATCACGAATACATAAACAATACACAGTATTTCGAGATGTACACGAATTCCGACGGTAGCTTTAAATTCTTCATAAAAAAGCTAGATACCTAAATGTTCCATTTGTATTCGCCCATTTTTATTTTATAACTGTAGTCCATACAAGTCCTCAAAATGGTGCGATCGCCAAGCGGTTTCTCGCTACTTATTCTCGTTCTTTTCGGCTTCTCCGGACAGATGTCGTCAGCTACCGCCGGGGTGATCCCGCTGGGGTTTCTGAATGTGCTCGATGAAAACAAGACGTCTTTTGAATGTGGCAATGGTTCAATACAGAGATATCATACGCATGGCAACTGGACGAGAAAGGTAATGTCTACCACATTTTTATTGTTGTTGTTGTTGTTTGTTTGGACATTGTGGGCGGCAGATCTGGCAGAATACGCAAATCTGAAGTAATAATAATAATACTCAGTTGTTATATAGCGCTTACAATCACTAAGCGCTTCCAAACTTGGACATTATTACCCCGCCTTTAGCTGTGCTGCCATTAAAATAATGTCATTAGAATACCCTGAATCTAGAAAAAGGTTTATTTACATGCATATACTTACTTTATTTGATTGATTTATTCATGATTTCTTTCAACAGGGTAATTTTATTCAGTTCCATACTCTCTAAAAAATATCGAGTGATCACGGACGTAACTCCTCTGGAGAGTGAAAATGTAGTGAAAAAAGAGTGAACATTCACTCTTTTCTTCTTAGAGAGCACTCTTAAATTAATCAATTTTCACTCCTAAACAAGTGATCACGGACGTCACTCCCAAGAAAGTGAAAATAGAGTGAAAATTCACTCTCTTTTTTTGAGAGAGTATTAAGCCAGTGGAACTGATTTTCAAGAAAGCCCTTCATAATATAATAACAGTATGAAAACATAAATATAATAATAATACAAACATTAACAATAGTACATAAATGTAACATATCAAAATAAACATATATTTTGTAAAAGTATCACTTTTTGAATCGTACAATATTTATTACAAGTTATTTAAAAAAAACATACTAAATTACTACACTATTACACACACCTAAAACATAACAGAAACAAAATAAATTAATCGAGAAACTAAAATAGCTACAAAGAAATAGAACAGATTAGGCCTATTGCACTTTTGAAAGTTAACG